GGTTTTAAACTTTGGTATTCTGGTAAGAGTCACACAAGAAACGGTGTAAGTGTAATTATAGATAAGAGTTTGAAAGATATTGTTGTAAAAACTAATAGAGTTGGAGATAGAATATAACCTTTAAGATTATTATTGATACTAAAATTTTTAATATTTTAAGTGCTTATGCTCCTCAAGTAAATTTAGATATAGGGTCTAAATATAAATTCTGGAATGACCTAGAAGACTTAATACAAATGCTAGAAGACTTGACCTAGAAGACTTAATACAAATGATACCTCGTGAAGAAAGAATTTTTATTGGAGTTTTTGAATGGAGATGTCGCTAGAGTGGTCGAAGATTTCAGAAATATTCATGGTAGCTACAATTTTGGAGTGACTAATGAAGATGACAGAGTCATTTTGGATTTTGCTTTAGTGTATGATTTTGTTATTACTAATACTTTATTCAAGAAAAAAGAAGAACATCTTATTAATTATAAGAATGAATATGAAAAAACACAAATTGATTATTTTCTTATGAGAAGAAGAGATCGTCAAAATTGTAAAGATTGTAAGGTCATTCCAAGTGAGGATTTAAGTACTTTAAGTACAATTTAAGTGCCCAACATCGATTATTAGTTCTAGATTTTAAGATAAAGAGTAATAAAATAAAGAATACTATGACTCATCATCGTAGACTTAAATGAGGGAACCTAAAAGACACAAATAAAATTATTTTTATGAGTAAAGTTCAAGATTTAAAAATTTGAGATGTTCATGAAGCAAATGCTATGTGGGATATAGTAACAAACACTATTAAACAAGTAGCAAAAGATGTACTTGGAAAATCAAAAGAAATGTTTCTATAAAAATAGTTGGTAGTTGAATAATAATGTGCAAGAAAAGATGAAACATAAGAAGGTATGTTGTAAAAATTGATTTAAATATAAAAGCTTAGAAAACTGGGAAAAATATCAAACGGCCCGTTGGGAGTCTAAAAGAACAATCTGTGACGCTAAAAATTTTGTTTTTAGTGATCTTTATAATAGATTAGATATTAAGAATGGTGAAAATATATTTATAAACTAGTCAAACAAAGCGAAAAGAAAAGTAAATATTTAACTCAAGTAAAGTGTATTAAAGATGAAAATCAAAATGTGTTTTTCTTAGAAAATGATATTCAACATAGATGTGTGAGTTATTTTAATAAATTTTTATTGAAGTTTCTGAAAATACGATCAACCTTAGTGATCTTAATATTGTTAATAATAATAAAATGTTTCATTTTTTTACAGTCGCATTAGTACAGAAGAAGTTGAGGAGGCTTTAAAAAAAAGGATGGAAATTTGTTGGATTTGAAAATATCCCAATTGAAGTGGGGAAATATTTAGCATATTTGGGAGTTTCTTGGCTTACTAAACTCTTTAATATTATTTTAAAAACTAAAAAAATGTCTGAGGAGTGGAGGAATAGTATTTTGCTCCCCATTTTTTAGAATAAAGGGGATGCACAAGAGTGTGCAAATTATAAAGGAATTAAGTTGATGTTTCATACGTTAAAATTATGGGAGAAGGTAATTGAGCATAAGTTAAGACGTATTACAAAGATTTCTCATGATCAATTTGGATTTATGCCAGGCAGGTCTACGATGGAAGCTATACATTTATTGAGTGGTTTGATGGAGAAGTTCAGAGATAATAGGAGGATCTACATTTGATGTTTACTGATTTAGAAAAAGCTTACGATAAAGTTCTAAGAGATATCCTTTGGAGA